TTACCTTTTGTTTTTACTGGCTTATCATTCAGGTAATTTTATTGCAGAGAAGTTGGAACATACAGAAAAGTAAAACTTACACTGGGCACATGTGTGTGCCCAAGATCCCAGGAAGAGAAAGAAGGAGGAGGGATTGTGGCGTGGCCATTCCCCCCAGGGGGTGATTTCTTGCTTTTTGTCTCCTATATCTCTCTTTGTGTCTCTGGCAAGTATACACACCCTATAGCAAAAATGTCTCAAAAAAAATGTGTAGACACTGAAGGGTCATTACCGGTACTCCTACCACTCAAGGCCTATTCTACTTTGAATGACCAGAATTCCCAGCATTTCTTTATCAAACTATGTGTGGTGTTCTGCTGGTTCATTTTGAGGACCTCTCATATAAAGAGGCTTTTGTAGATACTGCTGTACTCTCTTGGAATGGCCTCCAGGCAAACACCTGTGCCCATTCCTTATACCTCAGTAAATCACTGCCACCCTCTTCCCTCTCCATGGTCCCTGTAATATGCAAGACATACCTTATATGCAGATATCTGTGTACTTAACTATCTCCCTAAGACACTCTCTCGGTGAGCTCTTTGAAAGCTTAGACTGCATTTTTCCCACCAGAGTGCCTGGGACAGAACAGGCTATTAGTAAATGTTTGTTAAGTGAATGAATAAGTAAACAAATTAATGAAATCTTGCTGAATAAAACCTATGATTACTGTCAGGAATGGACAACTCCTGCTATAGTCAGTCTGACCTGTTGGGTGACAAAAGGAAAAGGCATTTTAGAGTTTTGTTTGTTTGTAATTTGCTAGAAGGCCTGTGCACTCACCAGAGGGGGAAGGGGAGAAAGAGAGCGAGAGAGCAAGATAGAGAGAGAGAAAGTGAAAAATCAGCCCCCAAAGGGATGGCTGAGGGTAGCATGGTGGTTAAGGTGCTAGCGTCCCACATGGCTGACCATGATTCAAGTCCTGGACCTGGTGGCAATCCCTTCTCTATTCCCTCAGGATTGTTGGTGTACACACATGCTCAATATGACTTTCTTTTCTTTTTTTAATTTAGTTTTTTTTTTCCTTTTTGGTCACAGGGCTCATGCTTTCATTGGAGAGAGACAGAAAGAGACAGAGAGAGGGAAAGTGAAAAAACACCCCCTAGCAGGGGTGGCCACAGAGTGACTTTCTTTTTTTCTTAATTTTGTTTAACTTTATTTATTTATTTTTATTTGACCAGAGAGGGACAGAGCGAGAGAGAGAGAGAGGGAATGTGTGAAAGCAAGCTCCCAGGTCCCGGATTTGAACCACGGTTGGCCATGTGGGAGTCCAGTGCTCCCAACCACCATGCCACCTGCTGGCCCTCATGGAGTAACTTTCAAGCCACCAGCTCTGGGACTCAACCACTCAGTCGGCCACATAGGATCCAGTTGTCTTAACCTTCACGCCACCTGTTGGACCCTGCTTTGTATTTTTTACTAAATGCTTTTACATAATTTTTAATTTAACCTGCCATATGAAGTCCCCATTGTTATTTTTATATTAGGAAGTTATTATAGATTGAGCATCCTTTATCTGAAATGCTTGAGGCTGGAAGTTTCAGGTATCAGATATTTTGGATTTTGAGATATTTGCATATATGTAATGAGATATCTTGGGGATAGAACCCAAGTTTAAAGATGAAATTCATTTATGTTTCATGTACACCTTGTAACACATAGCTTGAAGGCAGTTTTATACAATGTTTTTGTATTGCAACCGGTCACATGAGGTCAGGTGTGGAATCTTCCACTTGTGGCATCATGCTGGCACTCAAACACTTTTGGATTTTGCAGCATTTGGGATTTTATATTTTGAATTAGGGATGCTCAACCTGTACTATATTTGAATTGGAAAAGAAGAAAATAAAGATTGTGCTGAAAAGTGGGAGAGAATTTATTTGGAAGGCTATCTGAATGAATTTCCAATACCCTGCATTTCTTCTTTATAAAGGCAAGAGGGGAACCAGCAGTTAGCGTAATGGCTATGTCGCTGGACTCCCACGTAGTCGACTGTGGTTCATGTCCAGGACCCGATGGCTTAAAACTCACGCCAGGCGCGTGTGCTTGCGTGCCCAAGATCCCGAGAGGAGAATGGAGGAGAAGGGATTGCGGCGTGACCATCCCCCCTGGGGGGTGATTTCTCGCTTTCTGTCTCTATGTCTCTCTCTGTCTGTCTGGCGAGCACACGCACCCTATAGCGAAAACCTCTCCAAAAAAAAAAAAGAAAAAAAAAAGGGCAAGGGAACTAGCATTTGCGGGCATAGTATCCCAGGCAAATTACTTAGGTATCTAATTTAATTCTTCCAACAACCCAATGGACTATTCTTATGTCATAGCTGAAGAAACTGAGACACAGAGCTGAATTAGTTTATCCAAGTTCAAATAGGTAAAAAGAGGCAGAGTCAATATTTAAATCCAGGACTGTCATGACTCTAATTAATTTTCTATTATACAAACTTCTTTGTGTAGAGATTCATTTGTAGAGGGTTATGACCCACTGTAAAAATAGTGAAACTCAGGGACCAGCAGATGGCGTGATTGTTACATTGCTAGACAGCCACATAGTCAACCATCGTTCGAGTCCTAGACCTGGTAGCTTGAAACTCATGCCGGGTGTGCGTGTGTGTATGTGTGTGTGTGTTTGTACCTGAGATCCTGAGAGGAGAATGGAAGAGGAGGATTATGGCGTGGCCACCCCCCCAACGGGTGATTTCTCACTTTGTGTCTCGTCTGTCTCCAGCAACCACACATGCCCACCCTATGGCAAAAATCTCTTCCAAAATAAATAAATAAATAACTGGTGAAACTTGTAGGCATGAAAATTTGGGAATCCTACCTACTATCATTACTACTATTTCATCTATCTTCAGTTCAATTACTTTTTTTGTTTTTTTTTGCCATAGGGCATATATGCTTGCTAGAGAGAGAGAGAAAGAGAGAGAGAACCCTCCAGCAAGGTTTGGTCATCAGCTGATCAGAGTAAGCATAGACCACACAACAGTGGTTCTCCCCCTGAGTGTTGTTGCCCCTCAAGGGACATTTAGTAATGACTGGAGGTCATTTTGATTGTCACCATTTAGGGGGTGCTATCCCCACAACGAAGAATGATCAGGTCTGAAATGTCAGTAGGGCCAGCCGTGGTGGCGTAGTAGTAATGTGATGCTCTGCAGTACTAAGCCCACCTTGGAAGGGTTTGAGTTCTCTTCCTGAGGTCTCCCTTGTGATGTCGTCTGGCAAAGGATGGGGGCGATTTAGGCATGAAAATCCCAATGCAAGTGCCTGTGTCTCTCTCACTCTTTATCTTTCTTTCTCTCACATAAATAAATAAATAAATTTTAAAAATAGCTAGCACATAGCTATTGGAAATATTTAGACTAATCGAGTTCATTGGCAGAACAATTGAATGGGGGGGCGGCGGAAGGCATGGAGGGCAATCATGGATGCCAGGGACAATGGAGGAGGAAGATGGGACATGGCAGAGGGTGGGGGATGGGGAATCAGGGATGGCAAGACAAAGGGCAAGGTATGCAGGATGTAAGAATTAGAAAATTACTTGCTGAGAACATGTATGGTGATGTGCTTGATTGAACCAATGCACAGTGTATTTTGGATGGAAAATTCATTGGTGTGTTGTGATGGTGTATAGTGAATTAAGGTAGAAAATAAAAATTAAAAAAAAAAAAAAACAATAGCTAGCACAGGCCCCAGAAGGTAGTGTACTGTTTACATCACTGGATTTCCACATGCCTGACCACAGTTCTAGTCCTGGATCCGATGGCTTGAAAATCACACCAGAAATATGTGCATAGATGTCCAAAATCCTAAGAGAATGGAGGAGAAGGGATAACAGTGTGACCATCCTCCCTGGAGGGTGATTTTTCACTTGTTTCTCTGTCTCTGTTTCTCTCTTCTCTCTCTGGTGAGACCACATGCCCTGTAACAAAAACTTTAAATAAATAAATAAAAATTTAAAAATTAGCTAGCTCGGGAACCAGCAGTTAGCGTAATGGCTATGTCACTGGACTCCCACGTAGTCGACCGTGGTTTGCGTCCCGGACCCAGTGGCTTAAAACTCATGCCGGGTGCGTGTGCGTGCGTGCCCAAGATCCCGAGAGGAGAATGGAGGAGAAGGGATTGCGGCGTGACCATCCCCCCTGGGGGGGTGATTTCTCGCTTTTTGTCTCTATGTCTCTCTGTCTGGCGAGCGCACGCGCCCTATAGCAAAAATCACTCCAAAAAAAAAAAATTAGCTAGCTCAAAGTAATCCTTAGAAAAGTAAAAGATAAACAAAATGTTAGGGGCTAGTTGGTGACAGCAGTAAAATGTGACATTCTGCAAAGCAGTCTACATGGGAATTTTCCCAGTTCAAATCTGGAAACCTCCCTGAGTAAATCAGACACATGCTTGCCCATGATCTAGGGCTGGCTGAGGGCTGGGCTGGATCGCAGCGTCAAGACTATGTTGGAGGTATTGTGTCTCTCTTCCTGTCTGTCTTTGTCTCTCTTGCTCATGGAAGAAATAAATGAATAAACTTAAAAAAATAATTGTCAGCAATGTTGAAGGTGATAAAACTCTGCCCTAGAACAGCTGGATTTCATGCCTTACTTCTCTATAGCAGGTGAAAGACCCACAGTTAGCTTCCAAAACAGACCTAGTGATGAGCTTTATTCTTTTAGAACTGTTTTTCAGTAGCAACAAATATTGGTTAATCACCAGGTTTTATTCAGAGTTTAGTATTAAGCAAAATTGGGGATGCAGAAAGTCATTCGATGTGGTCTCCTTACTCAGGGCGTTTAGATACTTCTGGGGGAGGGAAA